TTTTTCACATCTTTCTGTGTTTTCTACTGAAATGTTTTGAACGTTGTGTTTATTATTTACAACAACTTGATGTGAATAAATTACTAGCAGATGATTGAAAACAAAATGGAAACTTAATAAATTAGTAGCTATAAGAGTTTATTTTGGTTTTCAAGACTTTGGAAACCAAACCACCAAAACATTCAGTGAGTTTGTGAACTTTTGCTGTTTCTGTTTTATTTATGAAGGACTAGAAAATTAAAATAACTTCATCATCACAACATGCGTCCAGATAAATCCAGGTGAAACCATCCCATCATGTGTTCCTGCAGGACCAGATGGTTCCCATTTGCTCCGTCTCCTGGAGAAAGTTTGATCCCTTGGATTGAGAGACCAGTTAACCAGATGTATAGTTTGTAGATCTGGAGGATGTGCAAAAAAAGGCTCCAAAAAAACAACAGAACAAGATGAAGCAGATGGATGTGAAGGGAGAGGAGCAGAGGAAGAAGCGTCCGCCTTCACCGAGTGCTAGAAAGAAAAGTAGTGAGCAGAACTTCTGCTGCCTCTCCAACCTGAAACCATCAGTTTAATATGGCTTAGTGCAGAGGGGCCCAAACTGTGGGGCGCGGCCCCTAGGGGGGACGCCATGCCATTGCAGGGGAGGCAGGAAGCAGAATGAATGAATGAACTAAAAGAAACATCGATGAACACTGTTGGGTTTTTACCTCAGAATGACCAACTTTCTGTTCTTCCTGCATCAGTTTGATACAGTAGGAGCTTCTGCACTTCCATATCTGTGTCCTCTATATTATAACCCTCTGGTCTGGGATGTTATGTTGGTGTTGGTTTAAAGGGCCGTCGCACTAAACCACACAGCTGCTACTGGCTATGTTACCTCATTCCTGCTCATCGGTCCTCATATCAGGTTTTGCACAACTACTGTGTTTCTGTCATGTTGTCATTACTTTCACTTCATACTAGGGTTTAAAACTATTGTTAACCGTAAGGCTACTTTTCTTTATTGTAAGGAGCAAAAGGCAAATTGTTTTTTTCTGCAGAAGCTCCTTCATCAAGTGAGGAGGCTAAATTCTGGAAACTTCAATGGGTGATAACATTTATTTTAGTCGTGGTCCGTCGCATTCAGCTGGTTATGATCATGTTTTACAGATTCCCAGGTTCTTTGTTGGAGCAAATCAGTGACACAAATGGCCACTGGGTAAATGTAATAGTGGAAATTGAAGGAAATAAGATCATTTTGGTGTGTATATGGATACAATAATAAAGAGATAAATAGTATATTTTTTGCTGAGTGATGATAAAACATTGGAAATTAAAATATTTACTGATCAGGTTATTTTAGGAGGAGATTTCAATGTAACTCCAGATGGATCAATCGATCGTCTCCCCTCTAGGGGGCAGCACCACATTTACAATGATGTTTTTGTAAACTTAATCTCTAATACAGATTTGACAGACTGCTGGAGAATTAGAAACCCTAAAACCAGACAATACTCCTGGTTCAATCCTTCTGGAAATGGCCAGAGCTCTAAGCCAGATTATTGGTTAATCCCTCATAATCTGGTAAATAATATTCAAGCTGTGAAATCTCAGCGGCTCCTCTAACAGATCATTGTTCAGTTACCTTGTTTCTCTCTCTAAATGAATCTAAACCAGCTTCAAACTGGAAGTTTAATAGTAATCTGCTGAGTAATGAAACCTTTTGTTCAGAAATCCTGAACCTCATTCAGGATATTTCAGTGATCAGATCTGGACCATCTGGACCCGTCAGAGAGCTGCTGATGTCATCAAGCTTCTCCTCAGTCTGATGGACTCTGGTTCTGTTCTGCAGAGCCGTGTTGGATGGAGGCTCAGTGGACCAGGTGGGTTCAGGTTGAGGGTAGATCCCCTCTGAGCTGCAGGTGATCCTGTTTCCATCCTGATGGATCCTGATGTCAGAGACTGGAGCTGAAAACAACATGAGAATGTAATAGAACCAAAGTAAAAACTCTCAAAACATGATTTGAATGAAATGTTTTCAAACGAAGATGTTCCACCTTCTACTGCAAGGTGAACAACACGTCTATAAGAGACACCAGGTGTAAATGCATCACACCTGTAACTGCCCTCATCATCAACCTTCATCCTCTCAGCAGCAGATCGCCGTTTCCTCTGGATCTGATCCTCAGACAGAGACGCTCTGGATCTGAAGCTCTCAGAGCAGCTGGAGCCACGATGGTCAAACCGTACAATCAGAGATGATTCACATTTCCATATCATGGCCACATTCATGTTCTTGAACAACCCTGGTAAAATGCAGTCCTGGTTCAGAACACAGGACATGTTGGTATCAGAATCTGCAATAAGACATGAAAACAGGTGAAAGTTGAGTTGAATGGTGCTGAGGAGGAAACCCAGATCCTCTGAAGGATCAGAGAAAAACCTGCCTGGAAACAAGATCTCAGCAAATAATCTCCATGATCCAGATGATGTTCACTGAACCAGAAGTTCTGGTTCTGATGGGAAAAC